GAATGCTGTTGAGTCTCCCTAGGCCCCACCCACTACCCCTTTTCCTTCTAGATACATGACTAGAGTCAAGTTCCAACCAGCCCCAGAAGGTGAGATACAAAGTGTGACTCCTGAGAGGGTGCAATGCACCCCCACAAAAATGCCATGATTTTTCCAATTTATACAGACATAAATCTGGGGAACATGTGTGGAAATGGATGCTGATTATGTGGGATAATCATGGAAAGAACATGGAGAAGGGCCTGGTCCTGAGTTGAGGCTCTGGACTCATTGTTGCAGCTCCTACAGTTTGGTTGTTTGGCTGAAATGTGGACCAAAAGGGGGCACACAGTAAGGAGGCTGAGATGCCATATTGCCTTGGTTTGCTGTAGAAGAAGGAACCTAAAGGCTTAAGGCACCTCCGAGTCTTACTGTGGGCTTGTCAATGTCTGCTCCTACCCTGGGAAGACAGGTGTTTCTCCCAGTAGTGAGGAATAAGTTTTGACGGGGTCCCCGCATCCTGGAGTTCTGTGATCCTTCTTTTCTGTAAGTCAGAAATTACGAAATTGGAAAGCATAAGTGCAATGGGGATAATTGGATCCTGAGGTGCCAGAGGCCCAGTGGCAGGCTCGGTCACCGAAGGTGAGTGTGGTCACCACAATGGACAGCAGAGGTAATGTGGCAATCAGGAGTCTGACTTGCAGAGACCTAACTGAGGGGCTGCTCCAGGGAGGGGAAAACCTGCTCCAGGGGGGCAGGACCTTTTCCAGGCAGGTGAGGGACTGTGACAGCATGGACCCAGGAGATGGAAGATTTTGGGGCACTAGTCTGAAGATTAGATGCTACAAGGTGGGTGTGGGGTCTGGTGTATCTGAAACTGTGAGTGAAGTCTGCCGAAGGGATAAGGGCAGGTGGGTGGCAAAGAATCTGCTTGCTGAGAAGCCAGGTGCAGCCAGCAGGGGTGCTGCAGACGGATTACCCACCATGCAGAAGCCATCTGATGTCCCCTTGTGAGATGCAGGTGGGTGGGAGTCTGACCCCCAGCCTTCTCCTCTTTAGACTCCCACAGCAGTCTCAGGCATAATGGTAAGAACACATAAGGTAGTTGACACAAAGGACTTAGCACCTTGCTCTACACACAGTTGGTGCTCTATAAATGTGGACTCTTGTCTCTAGGCTCAGGAAAGGAGACTGAGTGATGGGAGTGAGGAGCAGAGGGGGAAGCTGATGTGTTGGGAGCCTCTGGGATGGCCATGACCCACCCCTCCACCAAATGAGAAACCGCCAGAACCACAGCTCCAGGGCCTCATTGGTGGCCCTTCACAGCTCACTTGGTGCTCAGAACAGGTGAGAGAGTCCTGGCAGCGGAACCCTGGCCAAAGGCAAAGAAGACACCATCTCCTCTATGAATCTGGATAAGGTTCGGCTGATTGCCAGGGGAGCCCAAGTTATAGTAGCTTAAGACAGATGGATGTTTATTCCTCTCTCATGTGAAAAGCACAGAGCAGGCACCAGGAACTCCAGCTCTTCTACTTTCCTGCAGAATCATCCTTGGCACAGCTTCCATCTTGTGGTCAAATGTAGCTGCTTGTGCACCAGCCATCACGTATGCCATTCCAGGAAGCTGAAAGTAATATAGGGAGCCAAGAAAAGTTTACTCGCCTCATTTTATACCACTTCCATGAGGTCCCATGTGACACTTCTGCCATCCCATTGGAAGAATTTGATACATGCAGGGCCAGCTGAGCTGCTCCTGGCTTCTTGACTTTGATGATAAGAGTTTGTTGTCCTAAGTTGCTAACTTTTGGGGTAATTTGTTATGCAGCCATAGCTAGCTAATGCATATGACAGGAAAGAGGAGTGCTCCAGGACAGAGAAGACCCTGAACAAAGACCTTGCAATGGGGCTGGGTCATGAGATGAAGCCAGAACAGCCACATGGTTCCCTGACCAGGTCTGATACCCCATTTAAGTCCTCTGTCAACAGTGTTGTTGGGATGACATTTCTCGGAGGAACTGCAGATGGTGCTTCTCCCCTAGCTTCCTGCCCTTTTCGGGGAAATGCCTGCCCTGACCGCGGGATGCAGGCATCCTGTCAGCCTCTATGAGCTGCCTTTTGTTTATGCCGTGTTTTGTTTTTTTCTGGGTTCCTCATTTACAGTCACCAGATGTTCACTCTTTTAAACGTGCTGGCTGGCGTTCAGGAAGTTCTGGGGGAGACTGCCCGGCAATGCCGAGGGTTATAAATGAGTCCATTAGGGGAGGTGGATTTGCTAAAAGGTTGTCTTCATTCCACCTGGTCCAGAGCAGTACTCACATGATCGATGATTTCAGGGCCTTCGAACACATCTTAAACCTCGGCACATTCTTAATGCCTCAAAAGTTTCCAATTAAAGTCAAATGGCTCTTGGCAAAGTCCAAGGCATTTTTACTAACTAAAATAAATACCTGGGCAGGCTCCATGGTTTATGACTTCTTCACACGGCTGAGGATAAACAGCAAGAGGCCGGAACTAGAGGCACATCAGGGCCGAGAGGCTGAGCAGCCCCGGAAAGGCTCCCTGCTCCTGATGCCACGCTGGCCCAGGGGCTCCGTGGGCACTGGGCTGGATGGGGCCTGCCACTCCATCCTTGGGAGGAAACCAAGGCTTGAGGCAGCAGTGAGGTGGGGGTCCTGCCAAGGTACTGGGCCCAAGGGGAGCTGACTGCACCTGCCCCACGGGCCAGCTTGGGGGACAGGAATGCAAAGCCCCCGGAAGGTGCCGGCACAGCCAGCCACACCATCACCCTTTTTGCTGGACCTGTGCAGGTGGCCTTTCATGTGGGGGACCTGTCCACTAGAAGGCCCCCTGCTCAGCCACCTGGCCGCTGTCACCTCCATGCTCACAGGTTTGTCCCAGCAGCAGCTGGCGTCTGGGGCTGGGTCCCAGCTTTCTGCTCCAAGGAGAAGCAGCTCCCAAGAGGTCAGACCTGTCCCAGAACACTGGCGATCTGGCCTTGGAGCCGTAGCTTAGGAGGAGCCCCTGGGGATGCTTACCTGGACGCCTCCCCCAGGAGGGACCACTTGCCTCTTCTTCCTCCCCCAGGCTCTGCCTGTCCCCTGCCCATTGACCTAAGGAAGGCCAGCTTTTACAAGACCCCAGCCCAACCCCAGGAGCTGAGGTCCCTGGGGCAGCATCCTGAGGCATCTAGGTGGCCTAGGACCAGGTGGCCTTCTTGGGCAGGTGAGCTGAAGCGGGAAGAGCCCTCCTCCCTGAAAGGAGGTGCCGCGTGGTTGGTGCTCAGCCCAGTGCTAATGGTCCAAGGGACCCCAGGGTGGTGGCCTAAGGGCATGTCATCAACCCAAAAGCAGGTGACTGGCCCCTGGGAGTGGGGTGTGGGGCCTCTTGGAGGAGTGTGGGCACTGCCCGCCTCCCACAGGGCTCTGCCTGTCTGGGGCAGGCAGTCTTCCTGCCCGGGGTCTTGCCTAGGCACCGTCTCTGCCTCAGAGCACCGTGAGTGCTCGGTGGGCACCTTGCCAGGCCTGTGCAGTGCTCTGAGGCCCCCTGCGCCCTCCCCCTTACCTTTCCCAGGTGGGTCCCTCTCCATACCTTTCCACAGCCCTGTTCCCCTCCTCCAGCATCCAGTCCTGCTGCAGCCTCTCCTGCCCCAGGCCAGGGGCGGGTTCCCTTCCTGTCCTCCCCCTGAGTCTCTTCGGTTCAGTAACACAGATGAGATTTCTTGTTTTATGGCCATTTGTGGAATAGGCACTAGTAAAGCTGGCAGGTGCCCATCCTGTGTCCATGGCAGGCACCTGTGTCCTGCTAGGGTCACCAAGCCTCTTCCAGAGGATGTGGTCCAGGTGAGCCATGGTGTCAAGCCCTGCTCTCTGTCCCTGTGCTCATGGCTGGGAGCCTGCAGGCCTCGCCTGCTAGTTCAGCACAGTCCTCAGCCCATTGCACAGATGGACATCTGAGGGTGCCAAGGGTAAGGGCCCCATGGACATGCCCAGCAGGTGGCAGCTGCAGCTCCTTTGGGCCAAGCAAGGACATTGGAGAGTGCCATGTACTAACTCAGCAATAGTGCCTAAGTCCCCATTCTGTGCCTGCTGCCCTGGTGCCCCTGAGGTCTGAGAACCCCACAGTTCTGCCTCCTCCAGAGAACAAGGACAGGGCCCTGCTCAGGCCACCTGCCCACCCCCCAAACCTCCCATTGCCCTGCCCAGCCCTGCATGGGGCGGCCTAGGGTCAGGGGTCCTGAGGCCTCTGGACTTGTTGCCCTGGTTCCAATCCTGTCCCCGGGGCTGATGTCATCTCCTGGACCCGCCTCCTCATCTGCAGACAGTGGGGAGTCCAGGCGGGAAGGTGGCCGTGCTGCCAGAGCCTGTGGGAGGTGCCATCTGTGTCCTCGCCATGGAGCCTGACAGGACCAGCCATCCAGGCGGCCCACGTTCTCTCCAGGACATCCACTGCTTTGGGATGGAGCTCACCTTGCTCCCCAAGCAAGCAAGCATTTCTCCTGTTCCATCTTTCTCCTTTTTTGGATTGGATTTGGTTTGAATTATAAATTCCTTCATTGTCTTTTTTCCTGGTTATTTTGTGAGGTTTATAAGCAGTGTTCTGACAATTCTGAAAAGTATGAGAAGTAAGACTGACAGGGCCAGGGTGGGAGAGGGTGTGGGGCAGCACAGACCCCTGTCCCCACATTGGGCATGCCAACCTGCCCAGCTGCACCTGGGAAGCCAGCTGGTAAAGCTGGCAGGTGACCATCCTGTGTCCTGGCAATTCTGCTCCAGGTAGGTGCCCACACACAGGCCCTGGATCTTGGGACAACAGCATATCCACGAACCTTCTCTCAGCAGCAAAGTTGTGGAGCAGCCACATGTCCTCTGGCATGACAGAGGACACGTTGTGGACATCCACACAATGGAGCACATGTGGTGTTGAGGAGAATTCATCACATTACTTACGTAGTCCTGTGCAGAGACAAGTCACAGAAGAATACAAGTACGTGGGTCCATTTCCATGAAGTCTGGCTGCCAGGGAGCACACAGAGATGCCAGACATCTGAACACAGGTTAGATGCAGAACTGGGGGCAGAGGGTGCCTGGCGGTGGGGGCAGGTGGGACGGGCCCCAACACAGGACGCTGTTTCTGGGAGTCTTTCTACCTCACACAGTGTGATAAAGTGACACTTCTACAAACTTCCCAGAGTTATTGAGCAGGGGTACCTGAAGGTGTGTCTGGAGTGCCTGGGGCTCAGAGAATCCCGCCCCCACCACACCCCAGCCAGAGGCTCTGGTTTACTATTGGGGGCATGTGTCCCTGGATGTCCCAGCCCCTCCCTGCATCTGGCCCCGAAGCGCGCCTGGGCCCTCCTATGCACCGAAATATGCAGGCTTCAGAATCCCAGAAGCTGCAGGTTAATGTGAAGGACATCCTGCCCCTCACCTGGCTTCCTCCTCCCTGGCTCTTGCCGGAGCCCCAGCAGCCGCCCCAGCTCCTGCCAGCCTCTCCCCGGGCTCAGGCCTCTGCCTCCCTGCTGACAGATGTGGGTACCCCCACAGCTCCGGGGGAAGGTGTGCCAGTCCAGAAACACGGAGGGCTCATCCGGCACCCGCACCTTCGCCTCTGAAATCAGGCCCTGTCCTCACAGGGGGCTACCTCATCACTGCGCCCAGCCCCAGGTATGTTGAAGTCCTGGGCCCCAGGACCTCGGGATGCAGCCTTACTTAGAGACAGGTCAAGAGAGGGTCATATTGGAGCAGGCTGGGCCTGGTCCGACGTGACTGATGTCCCTGTAAGAAGAGGAGAGCCAGCTACAGACCCCCAAGGGGGACGTCACATAAGGAAGGAGGCCGAGGTGAGGGCAGAGCCGAGTGCCAAGGCCGCCCAGGGCTGCTGGTAGCACTGGAAGCTGCGGAGGCAGGAAGATCCCGCCTCTGGGGCCTCTGCAGGGGCGTGGCCCTGCGCCTCCTGATCTTGGACCTCCGGCCGCAGCACTAGGACAGGTTAAGGGTGTGGGGTCTAGGCCGCCTGGTCTGTGGCGCTTGTCACCACAGCCCCAGGAAACAGGCACTCTGGGTTTCAGCACAGAAGGGGGTGAAACAGCCTGACCCCCTTCTCCCAGGGGAACCTGCGGCTCCTTCTCTGATGGACGCCCCTTCCAGCAGCCCGGTGCTGACGCCTAGCTCCCTCCGCTGCTCTGAGACGCTTTGTCCCCAGCGAGCTCCCTGTGGACATGAGCACAAGCATCCCAGCATCGCTGGGCAGGACTACGGGGTGCTGTGCGGGAGGTGGGGGTGCCCTGCTCCAAAGAGGTCCTGAGGGCGGTCCCCGAGCTCGCGCGCTCTCCTTCCCTCCCCGCCCCCTCCCTCCTCCCTCCGCCTTCCTCCCCCCTTCCCACCCCGTCTCCCTCTCGCTCCTCTCTGCTGTGTCCCCCCCTCCTGTGCCCCTTCTCGCACCCTCACCCGCCCTCCCTCACTGTCTCCTCTCCCCCTTCTCTCCTGCTTCCTTTTTCTTTCTGCCTCCCCTCCCCCCTGCATCTCTCCCTCTCAAATCTCCCTGACTCTGTAAAGAAATGAGAAAACACAGACCTTTCTGGTCACAAATGTTTTCAAATGCCTGCGTATTAATGACTGTGAATATGTGGGTTGGCGAGAGGAGGGTAATCTTTCTTGTCTTAAATGAGAAAAAGTCATAGGAAAAATGGGCTTTGTGTTGTCAAGCATTACCCTGAGCAGACACCCTCTGAGCGCCGGCCCCAGGGGCTTCCTGAGACCTGCTGCATTTTTCCTGGAGGAGCGTGTTTAACGTCAGCACCCTGAGGAGCTTGGCGGAGAAGAGCCCAGAGGCCAAATATTTACACAGCCAACCCCAAAACCCATGGAAATGACCTCGTGAACATTGTTTTTAATTCATAAGACATGGTGATGAATAGGAGCCACCACCATGTCCAACATATGTTTCTGGACATGGAAGCGGGGTACTGGGCTCCCGAGGGGCAGCGACATGGCCGGGAGGGGCTCTGGGGCAGGTGGGCCAGTATCAGCCCTGATCCAGCTTCCTCGCCATGTGGCCTTGCCTAAACCACCTCGCTCTCTGAGCTTGAGATGGTGTCATCCTATGAGATGTTGGGAAGGATGCCATCACCTGGATGCGTGGGGGGGATGAAATGTAGTGGTGAGTGCTGACCTCTCAGCATGCAGGTCTCTCAGGTGGCTGTTAAGGTCCCTGCAAAGAGCTGCCATGCATGCCCAGGTTCAGTGGGATGGCAGGGGAGCCTCTAGGCAAGGAGCCAAGCTGACAGGAGGCATCAGAGGTGTTCTCCTTTGCTTCTGAATTTGGAACCTCTGGCCCAGGAATGACTGATTGGTGACTGTCCTCTGGTCCACCACTGTCCCTGCCTATGCCCCTTAGACCACACCATATGTCCACTGCCATCCACTGCATCTCCATCTGAGGCTTTCTGCCCCCAAGGCCTGCCTCTGCCTGGGTGAGGCCATCCAGGATGGCTAGATGATTAATGGCCCTCAGGACCAATCTCAACCACTGACTCAAGATTGCTGGAGGTCCATACTCCCCTTCCTCATCCAATGGATTGGCTGCCTCTGAGGAGCATGCTCCACATTGGCTCCCAGAATTCTCCAGTGGGAGTAAGCTCATTGCCTACATCATTAAGTTTGACAACACACCCTCTGTCTGTCTGCCTTCCCTGCCCTGCCTCATGTCCACCCTCCTCCTGGTGCTGCTTGGGATCCTCTCCTCAAATAAGCTATTTGCACCATAATCCTTGCCCATGGCTCTGCTCCTGACACAGCCCAAGGTCATGCTTTCTCTGTCTCTGAATTAACCAAACTGTGATTTCCCATGTCCCATACAAGCTCTCTTCCCCTTAGCAAATTGCATTCCATCCTTCCAGTTGCTCATACTCAAACTCTTGGCAACATCTTTGATACCTTTCCTTCTTGACTCCCTACATCTGATTCATTACCAATAACCTGTTGGCTCTAACATCAAAACATATTCAGAGATTTCTCATATCTAATCATGTTTCATCAAACCATATGAACCATAAAATCATATAAAGGTGATTACAAAGAGGAGAATCTTGAGAGACAAAGAAACATTGAATACAGAGGAACACAGATAAAAACACAGCAGACTTCTTGTTATAATATATGCAAGTCAGAAAATAATGGAGAAGCATCTTTAAAGTATTGAAAGAAAACATTGTCAACCTAGAATTCTACCAAGAAAAAAATGTGTTTGAAAATGAAGACAAAGACAACACCAACTTCAAGATTGTGGAGTGATAGGAACTCTCATTCACTGCTGTGGGGATGAAAAATGGTACAGCTGCTTTGGAAGTCAATTTGACAGTTTCTTATAAAAGTGAAAATATTGTTACTGTAAAATCCAGTAGTCACTCACATGAGTACTACTCACATGAGTTGAAAACTATGTTCACACTAATTCCTGCACACCAATGTCTATAGCAGCCTTATTAATAACTGCAAAAAACTGGATGCAACCAGGATGCATTCAATAGATGAATGTGAAAACAAACTGGTAAATCCATTCAATATTAAAGAGTGCTAAAGAGAAAAAATACCACCTAATGCTAATGAGAATATTAATGAGTCCAGAAGAGAAAAAAATACCACCTATCAAGCCATAAAAAGATATGGAGGAAACTCAAATGTATATGACTAAGTGAAAGAGGCCAATGAAAGATAACATGCTATATTATTCCAACTAGATAACATTCTGGAAAAGGCAAAACTATGAGAGTCAGTAAAAAGAAAAACATTTACAGGGCAAACACCTGCCTTGAAAACTTTGAGTCAGGCAGATACACAGAATCATAACTCACCATGAACTGAAGCCCCTGCTGGAGTCAGCAATTGGTAGGAACACTTGGAATAAGTGTCTAGTTGCTACAGACTGGCATGGACTAGCTTGGGAGATAAAATTTCCCAGGACTACATCCCAGGATGCAGGGGGAGCTCCATTTTCATGAGTTTTCACTTCAGGAGCCCTGCCAAGTACTCAGGATGAAGATCAGAGGCAAATCATCCTTTTGATGTATTTTTAATTCAGTTTATTAATATTCTGTTTAGGATTTTTGCATCTATCTTCATCAGGGATATTGATCTACATATTTCTCCTTTTTGTGTATTATTGTCTTTGTCTGGTTTGGGTATTAGAGTGATGCTGGCCTCATAGAATGAATTTCGAAGAATTCCCTCCTCTTCTATTTTTTAGAATACTTTAAGGAGGATGAGTATTAGCTCTTTTTTAAATGTTTAGTAGAATTCACCTCTGAAGCCACCTGGGTATGGAATTTAGTTTGTTAGGAGCTTTTTTATTATCAGTTCAATTTTGCTACTAGTAATTGCTCTGTTTAGATATTTTGTTTCTTCCTGGGACAGTCTCAGAAGATTGGACATTTCTAGGAATCTGCCCATTTCTTCTAGATTTCCAATTTATTGGAATATAATTTTTCATAGAATTCTCTTATAATTCTTTGTATCTCTGTGGTGTCAGTTATAATTATTCTCTTTTTCTGATTTTGCTTATGTGTGTCCTCTCTTTTTTTCTTGTTAGTCTGGCTAAGGGTTTGTCTCTTTTGTTTATCTTGTCAAAGAACCAATTCTTGGTTTCACTGATTTTTTTCTATTTTGTATTGTATTTATTTCTGCTCTGATCTTTATTATGTGCCTCTTTCTACTAACTTTGGGTTTTGCTTATTCTTTTTCTAGTTTCTAGTTGTGAATCTAGACTGTTTATTTGGAATTGTCTTATTTCTTGGGGTAGGCCTGTATTGCTATGTACTTCCCTCTTAGAACTGCTTTAGATGCTTTCCACAAATTTTGAACTGTTGGGTTTCTGTTTTCATCTGTCTCCATGTATTGTTTCAGTTCCTCTTTGATTTGTTCATTGATCCATTGATTATTTAGAAGCATGTTGTTTAGCCTTCATGTGTTTGTGGGGGTTTTTTCCCCTCATATAATTGATTTCTAGCTTCAAACCATTGTGATCTGAAAGGGAGATCTCTCTGGAGGAGAAAGCAGCTGGATGACACTTCTCAGCCCTTCCACAGCCCAACTGTTTGAGTGCTTATGGGACCAGCTCCAAATGCTCCATCTCCCGTGGTGTTGGCTCAGCCCTGTGGTGCACTACCCTGCATACCTGCCTTGCCTGGCCTGCTCATCCCAGCAGCAGTCCAACTTTGCTGCTTGGCAAGCAGAGGGTGGACCACATTTTCCTGGCCATCCCTCAGCCCATCTGTTGGGCACTTTCCAGAACCAGCTCCAACTGTTCCATCTCCCTTGCTGGTGGCTCAGCCCTGTGGTGCTCCCCTGCAGACCAAACTCACCCAGAAGGCAGCAGAGCAGTGGCTGCCTTTGCTGACCAGCTAGCAGAGGATGGCCCCACGCACAATGCATAACACATTGCACAAAGGGTACACAGAGGTGAGCTGTGGGGATCAGCACTGCCAACAGACAGGAAGAGAGGAGGGCCCTGACCACTGCCCACCATCATGGCTTCACAGCAAAAGAGAATCAGGCTCTGGTGAGAAGAGTCTTGAGTCTCTGGGCATCACAGCATGTCAACTTCATAAAGCCTTTACCCTCAGGACCAAGAGGCAGAGCTGATCCATCAAATACAAAGGGAGAAGCAGAAACCCAGACAAAATGAGGAGGCTGGAGGAATAGGTTCCAGAGGAAAGAACAAGACAGGACTCCAGAAAAAAAGTCCTAAAGGAAATGGAGGTTAGCAATCTTCTTGATAAAGAATTCAAACTAACAGTCATAAATATGTTTTATAAACTAGGGAAAAAAACTGATGATCTCAGTGAGAACTTCAAAAAGGAAAATATGAAAAAGAGCCACTCAGAGCTGAAGAATACAATAACTAAAATAAAAAAAAATGGAGGGAATGAATAGTAGACTGCTGGAAGTAGAAGACAGAATCAATGAGATGTAAGAGAGAGAAAAGGAAAACAGCCAAGCTGAGGAACAGAGGGCAAAAAGAATTTCTAAAAATCAGAAAATGTGGAGAGAGCTGTGTGACAAGTCCAAATGAAACAATATTAGCACAATAGGAGTCCTAGAAGGAGAAAAGAGAGGCAAAGGAGTACAATAAGTCTCTTTAAAGAAATAATAGCCAAAAAC